CCAACAGCTTCTCAGGAGGCAAACAAATTCCCTATTCCAATTAATAAAATAAGCTTCTCCTTTTAACTGATATTATATTTTAAAAATCATGTGTTTGCATATGTATCTGTGCATAGGTATGTACATGTGAGTGCAGGTGCTTGTGGAGAGTTGATCAACAGGGGTTCTAGGAACTGAACTTGGGTCATCTGCAAGAGCAGCGCACCTTCTTAGGTGCTACTCTGTTCCATGGAACTGGAAGTCACTGAAATTTTACTCATTTTTCAAAGGATTTATGGCTCGGAGTCATGGTACCCACCATAATCTCATCACTCAGGAAGCTGAAGCAAGAAGATATCAAATTCCATGCCAGCTTGGGCTATATAAATGAGATCACTACTACCCCACTCCCACCCTCAAAGCATGTACATATGAAAAGCTAGGTTAGGTGACAAGATATTTCTCATTGATTCTGTTGTCTGACTGGGTCATTGTTTATCTGGGTTTTGAAAGTGTCACCAGGTCACCTGCAATATGATTCCTGCTACTGAATCAACTTTGTGCCAGCTCTTCCTACAAGTTTTAGTTGTCCCATGCCCTCCAGTATAACTTCCATCTTAGAAATGGGTAACTGAGGCCCAGAAAAATGGAGTAACTTTTCAAAATGACTTAGGTATTAAGTTACAAAACTCAAATGTTCCACACCCCAAACTAGAGCCCAAAAGCTTAAACCAGGGAACTACTCCCTCCAGTTTGCTCTGCTGTGGAGAAACCACACAGTGGGATTACCTTGGCTTTCACTGGGTAGATTGTCTGTATGAATGGAACAGTTTCTTTTTCTGAGCTGATCATGCCATTGATTTCCAGATTGTCTGTAAACTCCAGCTTGGCAATTCCTTCGAAGCACTTCTTCAAGTGTGGCTGTACTCGGAGTGGGTCCTTTGTCTCTGACAAGATCTCCAGAAGCTCATCATTTGACAGGAAGAAGAACCTATTTCAAAGTAAAGAGAATATGGTCACAGGGCATTCTTCCACTAAGGGGATGCTCCTGGCTGGTGGATCCCACCATGTGATTACTGCCTGCATCTCAAAGTCTTCCTAGGCTTGGTTCCATCCTTTCCTCCATCGTCCTGGTACACAAAAGGTGAAGATCATCTTGACTCAGAGAGGGAGAGGAAGGTTGGGAGTGAGTATGTATGAGCTCAGTGCTGTGGGGACTGGAATGATTGCTTGGTTCTCAGCAATGATCATATACTTCAGGATTGCCCGATGAGCTCCTACTAACTTCAATGCCAAGGGTTCAACACCCAGAATGCCCCATGTATCTGGTATCTGGCAAGGTCTGGGGAAATCTGTAATGTCTTAAATCCCAGCTGACTCTAACATGTAGTCAGTGTCAAGAACCTGTGGATGAGAGGAGAGAAATTGTTCTTCTTTCTCTCTAGATATACCAGAAAATAAAAGTAGAGATAAAAACTTGTGTGAAGTAGATTATATACTTGCATGAAAATGCCCTTATATAATCCAGTACCATGGAGAAAAATAGAGTGTTTATAATAAACCTGTGTGCAGACAGAGACCTCTTCTGTCTTTTAAGTGGAGGTGGTAGCCACTTCCCTGCTTGCTCAGGCTCTAAAGACACAGAATCAAACTTTCAGAAAATGTTCAAGGCATGAACCTCTTTTTTATGAACCCAAAACTGAAAATTCTATAAAGAAGGGACCCATGGGATTATGGTCTTAATACATGGATTACAAATTGTTTACAGTGTTTGGTGAAGACCATAGAGCCAACCTCACGCTAAGGGGAACATTTGACTTTGACATCTCTTGATACTAGGCTGTGTCTTGCTTTGGCTGGCAGAATCTAGTGAATGTCAGTTATGCAAGTTCCAAGCCTTAGGCAACAAGGAAACTTGTCATTGACATTCTTTCTGCTCTTTAGAACCCTGGGACCACATGAATAAGCTTAACTAACCTTCCCAGGGCCCTACCAACAGGAATCCAACCACCCAGGAAGTGATTAGGATCAACGGCCAGTTGACTGTCGTTACATTGAGTGAGCTTCAGACAGTAGTGCCATTTAGTTAAGTACAGCCCAATGTGCCATATACCATACAATTGCGAGCTAAATAGATTGCTGTTGAATGCTTCTAAGTTTTAGAGAGTTTGTTACATAGCAAAACAAACTGATTCACTATTGGCAGTATTGAGAAAATAGGGAGAGTTTTTGGCTGACTAATTAGTACTTAACAAGATGTTAGTTCCTACCTTTCCTAAGTAATATTTATATGGGTGGTTTCTATTAGTTTATGTTACTCTAAGGCCTAAAGATAGAGTAATAATGTAAAATCATTTAGCATTCTGTATTTTTAAGGTAAAATCAATTTATGTGACTGTCACCAATGGTTCAAAATATTCAGTAGGAGTGCTTGATTTTATTTTACAAAAATGCATAAGCCCTTGAGATATTTGTGTGTTCATGTGTATTTAACTTATGTAGAAAAGTAGCTCAAAGAGATGAAATGATTGAGAATTACATACAGACTCCTTAGGTTTGAATTGCAGTTTGGCCATCGATCATTTTTGTATCTCTCTGGGGGAGATCATTGTTTTCTCACTTGTAAAATCAGTGGTAATGATCTCAATGTTACAGGACTATTCTAAGGATTACCTGAGTAGAAAGCACTCATTGTGGTGTCCTGGCACAAGGTGCAAATGCTATATTAGTATTGACTATCAGTGTTCTTACTAGGAATGGCAGCAAAAAACTAGAATTAAAGGCCAGGGGGCTGAAGAGGCGGAACTCAGTGGTTAAGCTGTACTCTCGTAGAGGACCTGGCTGCTCCCAATGACCTGTAGCTCCACTTCTAAGGGATCTAGTGCCCTCTTCTGGCCAGTGTGGGAACCTGCACTCATGTGCATGCTTCCGCATAGGACACATATACATACATAAATAAAGTAACATCTTAAAAAAATATTGATGAAAGCCCAAACCTCAGACTTCAAGAGTTTAATTTTGTCTCAGTATTGTGCTTCTCAGTTACAGTTCCTTTGTTCAGGTTGTCTAAAGGAGGAGCCATTGCCACAAGTGGTTATTTATGTTTAAAAATTAGTATTAAATAAATTAAAACTTTGGTTTCTGAGTTCAGTGGTGGTCTAGAGAGATGGCTCAGCAGTTAATGGCACTGGCTGTTCTCCCAAAGAACCTGTATTCAATTTCCAGCACCCACATGGAAGCTCACAACTGTACCAGGTGATCTGACACCCTCTTCTGGTTTCCTTGGGCACCAGGCATGTAAGTGGTACACAGACATAGATACATGCAGGAAAAACACCCATGCACATAAAAACAAAAACAAAAATAAAAACAACATCCAATGGCTATATGTGGCTAATGGTACCTTATAAGACAGAACAAATACAGAATATTTGAGTCATTGAGAAAAAAAAATCTATCAGAGAACACTGTGTTGAACAAATACCAAAGGAATTGCTCCCAGAAAACAAACAAAACCATCACCACTGTAACTATAATATCCTATACATTTTTTTTTCTTGGTGGAAAGTAGAGAACTAACTTTGGCTCCATATAGAGCCACATTATAATCTTTTGTTGTTGTCTTTTGAGACAAAGTCTCATGTAGCCCTAGTTGACCTCCAGATTTGTAGCTGAGAATGACCTTGAATTCTTGGCTGTCCTGTCTCCATCTCCCAAGTACAAGATTTTAGGCATGAAACCCTATAACCCAGTTGAGTTGAAAGGCACAGATGACAAGCCACAGTGAAATTGACATGGATAGATGTTTAGGAGTGATGCCTCGGCAGTAGCACTCTAAATCCACATTGACTGTTACGTAGAATATTAACATTTCAGGGAAAATACAGTCATATATTTATAAAATTACTGTACCAGGAGCTATAAATGTTAATGTTCAAAAAATTAGCTGACATTCCTCAAACACTTGTTTTACATGGAGTTCACTGATCTGCACAGAAAACCTAAGAACTAGTTGCTATTGGCATTTTTATATCTCAACTTCATACTGGAGAACCTGAGGTTGCTAAAGGTCTTCAAATGAATAAGTAGAAAAGCTTGGATCCCAAGGGAGATCTTTTTTTTGTTCTAGATACCAGGTCTTAATCGTGATTTCTATGCCTCATTAATCAATAGAAATTGGCTAAGTGACGATGTAACCCATGCCGAGTCTGTTTAGCTTTACTGTAGACAATGGCTGTGGAGGCATGTTAATTCCTAGATGCCATCTCTGGGGAATAGGAAAGCCGGAGTGGGTTAGAATCCAGATCTAACATATGGCCTCAGAGGGTAGGTCCAAATGAAAGAGCAATCCTAGATACCTGGGGAAAAAGAGCCTCTTCTTCTCCAGATAGTCATTCAGCCCCCGCTGGATGTCTTCCAACAGAACATTGGCTTCCTGAAGCTTCTCAGTCATTCTTGGCTGGTCAGCTGCCACCATAACCCTTCTATCATTTACCTAGATAACACACACACACACACACACACACACACACACGAAAATCATTGTGTGTACTCAAAGTTTTTAGAGATTAGTCATGGTAATGATTTCATGACCAACCCACCAACTTGTGATACTTCCCACCCAGGCACCCACTACCTAATCTTCTCCTAATCCCCAGGGGTAACTGCTCACTGAGCATGCTTCCATTCCTTCAATCGTGGTTGGCTGGGTAGAGGGTAGGCATCACAAACTAACAGAATCATTTTCATCTGAACATTTTGGGGGTCTAAAACACAGACCATGACATTGTATTCTGGCCTGTGAGGAAACCTTGATCAAGGAGCTTTGGGGCCATGTAAGGATCACCTCCTGCTATGCTACCCTGTAGCAGAGCAGGCCACTCTGCAGGGAAAGCCCCAAGTGGGCATGGAAAGAGGAGTACAGGCAAGAGTATAAAGAGAGTGCTTGTGGATGCTGGAGGGTTTTCTTGGCTCTCTATTGGCCCTTCGGGAGGCCTGGATGCTCTTCTGTCTTTACACTCTATGGGTCACCAACAGTAGCACTCAGCCTACACTTAATGGGTTTCTATAACATGTAACCAAAGAAAGTAAACTAACATAAAATTTGCTCCACTGCCTGAGCCATATAACTCCTTCCTCAGCCCTTGCCTCTATAATCCAGACCACAGGTACTACACTTGATCTTAGCCAAAAGGCTGAGAAGCGATAATCCAGACCACAGGTAAGCCAAGCAGATACACTCCTTTGAGATAAATTCTCTGATCATGTACCACAATTAAAGGGAAAAGATATATCCTCTCAGGGGAGAGACAGATTACAGATGGTAAAGTGTATCCTTCAACATTTGATTCTAACACCACCTGCTCTGGAAGTCTCCTCGACACCCCAAGGCAACTGCATTGATCCTTATAGTCTACACAGTTAACATTCACCACACCTTGTGTTTATTCTAGCCTGTGCTCCTCAGAACAGTAAGTTGTAAGAAAGAAAATCATGTTCGTCTCAGGTATTTTCTGATTTCTGAGATCACATCTGAGTCATCATAGGTACCAAAAATTCATTAAATAACAGAGTATCAACATATATCACCATTTGAAACAGGTGATTCACAACCTATAAAAATGTTATTGCATTGTTCTATAACAAAGTCTCATTAGGTGTGATAAACAAATAATATAAACTGCTAAGAGCTTTTTCCAAGGAGGTAAGATTTCAAAAATCTCCTCTCCATATCCCCATATTTCCATATTTGAAGCTTTAATAAATTATAACAGTGATATAAAATGTAAAATAAAAAATACAATTTACTTGATCATTTCAAGGGATGTCGACACAATGCATCTGCTAGTGTGTGCTAATAGCCAACTGGTGAGATGCAAGAGATAAAACTTACCGCCTGAGCCATGAGTGATTTCCAGTAACCATCCACAATGCCAAATTTCTTGCCCTCTTCAGGCATCTGGGCTATGATGTCCTCTGAGCTGAAGATCGGTTCCAGGTACAGCCAAGTGACTTGGCATTTTAACCAGGCATCCAAATTTTCTTGTACCCGAACTAGCTTTTCTTCCCATTTCTGTGAATTTAGCATCCAACATCTGAATCAGTAACCTGCCACTCTGCAGCATTCCCCAGCGAATGAGCTTGCAGGTGGATGGGTGCATTCATACAATCATTCACTCGTTTAAGAAATACTGAAGTGTATCTCATGTGGTTCCTGTTCCAGGAAATGTGGACATAATGAAACAGAGTCTTTTACCTTGTGGGTTCACATTTTAGTTAGATTTGTTTGTTTGTTTGTTTGTTTGTTTGTTTGTTTGGATACACGATGGTCAGGTGAAGCACCTTATGAGATACTAACAAATTTATGTGGGTTGGAGAGATAGCAATATGAATAAAGTTCTTACATCTGTGACAGAACCCAGGTTAAAACAAAACAAAAACAAAAAACTGTGTGTGGTGGCATATGCTTGAAATCTCAGTGCTGGAGAGGTGGAGACAGGCAAATGATATCTGGGGTTCACTGGCCATTTAGTCCAACCTACTTGGCAAGCTCCAGAACAATGAGAGCTCTTGTCTCAAAAACAAAAGCAACAGTAAGATGATTGGTGCCCAAAACTGTCCTGTAGTTAGTCTCACCTCTCTCTCTCTCTCTCTCTTTCTCTCTCTCTCTCTCTCTCTCTCTCTCTCTCTCCTTCCCTCTCTCTCTCTCTCCCTCCCTCCCTCCCCCCTTTCTCTCCCTCCCTCTTTTTCTCTCTCTCTTTTTCTCTCTCTCACACACACTAAAATGAAGAGATTAACAAACCCCATGTTTACTGTAAACACAATAGTTCAAATAGCCTCCTAAGTCCACGCAACTAACAGTGCAGGCAGAACCAGAATAGGAACCCAGAGGTCTGGACCCAGGAGGCCTATGCCAGTTTCTCATTTTCTTTTGTGCTCCACCCCTAAGATGTACTCCGTACTCTGATCTATTTCACGTCTACAGACAAAGAGAAATGGAGGGTAAACTCCAACAGTCATGTGGCTCATATTATAGATCACTGTATGGTCTAAAATACTTGGAAAGTATCTTTTAGTCTGGCACATTCAAGCCTTGTCTACTCTCAGAAAACTGCTCTGTGGCTTGACAGGTCAGGAGCTTGCTTATGCCATTATTGCTCTCAGCCTGGCATCTGTCCGTCCTCTCAGTTTTCCATTCAGGGAAGGGAAGTTTATGCTTTCATTGAGTTAGACCCACTTCCCTTGAGGAACTGAGACCTAAAAGACACAATGGCTATTTTCTTACCCGGCACTCTGCTTCGATTGGCTTGATGAATACGGAGCCACACATAGTCTGGGTCTTTATCACATGATCGTCAAGTACTAATTGAATGTCATCGACTGCACACAAGATGCTGGTATCCTGCAAGTAAAGATGCCCACTCAAAGTCAAAATCATGAGACTTGATTGCTTTTCCCATCCCATTTTCCATGCTGATTTTAGAAGGTTCCAGAAACCCTCGCAGTACAGAGCCCTCACCCCAGGGAGATGGGCATCTATCTCATGTGAGATTTTCTTAACAGGAAATATTTATTTATTTATTTGGAGACAGGATTTCGATATAGAAGTTCCTACTCCAGTCTCAGAAGCACACGTGTACACCTGCCTCACATTGGTTATTAAAAATACTTATTGACAGTGGGGCAGGAGTAGTGGGGCATGCCTGCTATCCCAGGACTCTGAAGGCTGATGCTGAAGGCATGCTATGAGTCTGACACCAGGCTGGGCTACTTCATAAGATCCTGTCTTAATAAACAAAATTAAATACAAACAAAAGAAACAAAATTTATTGTCTGATTCCTTTACAGAAATCAACCTAACCCAAAGATACAGAGGCTGTACCTAGAATCTGTTAGGGCTGGAGGAGCCTTTGTCCTCTTTCCTGCATTTCTGCCTCTCTGGGCTCTTGCTTTCCTGGTTCTTTCAGGAACCATCAGGTTTAATTCAACGAATAAGGCCTACATTCCTGCACTGCACAGCCAATTCACAGGAGCTCTTGTAATGTTTGTTAAATAAATTTTAAAAATTACTTTTTATTTCAACTCATGAGTTCTTTATAAATGTCTACTAACAGATAGGACACACTTATTAAGTTATTTACATGTAACCTCTTCATAAGCAAAGCGTTGTTTGTTTTGTTGTGTGTAAGAGTCCCATGGTAAAAGTACATAGACCTGGAACCCCAGCTTGGAAATCTTTATCTTATACATTTGGTGAGTTCCATTTTGCTAGCACATAAGGGTGCTGTGTCTCCAAAGCCAGCTCCTATGGATGGCATTTTCCCCTGTTTGTGGCAGATACACTGCTAATTAGTCTGTCGCCTACAGCAAACCTGGTCATTGTTGCTCTGAGTTCACGTCCTTTAAGCCTGCAGACACAGATGTAGATGCAGATAAAGACGATGTAAGTGTAGATATGGACCACATCTGGCTTGGGATATGTTCCGTCTTTTCTCAGTGTGTCCACACTGACAAGCTATTCTCATAGACTGGCATCGTTACTATCATTTTGCTATTGCTCCTTGTTGATAGCTACTTCAGTCATAAACTTAGAAGATGTATGAGGGATAGTGGGCCTGCCCATAGGCCCCTAGCTGAACTCCTCGGCACATCCCAACAATCTCTAAAGCAGTGTCTGATCCAATGAGAACACACAGCTCACAGCTCCAAGTTTATGAAACCCATGAGACCTGGCCTTGTTGGGAGAGACCCAGTAATGAACTCATTCGTCTCCTGTTCTCCTGCCTCAGATTGGCTCATGGATGGTTCTTATCCAAGGGTGAAACCAAGACCATCAAAATCAAAGGGAGAAAGAAGTCACAAGATGATGTGTCGCTCAGAGGGAAGGAGGGGTGTGCTCAGGTTTTGGTTCTATACTGATTATTTGAAAACTGGAGTTCTGGAAATGTGGTTAAATGTAAGCTAGCTTTCCTAACATGAATAGGATCCTGACTTCATTCTCCAGCACTATGGAAAAGAAAACCAGGAGGGCAACTGCTCAGGCACTCAGAGGGTAGAAGAGCAGGGGGAAAATCAATGGATATTTTTAGGCCTCCCAAATGATTCTGCTGCACAGCTAGCATTTGAGACGTTGTGCTAAGGGCCAATGGGCTGCACTGACTATCTACTTGTACCCTCCAAGATTTACAGAGCACCAGTCCCCATATCTACCCTATGCTTTGTCACAAGAGCAAACTAGACTTTGGGGTTATATAATCAAATGTACCTCCATGTTCATCATACAAACTCACATGCTACCTGTATTTATAAACACTGTAAAAATAAGGAAATCCATACCCTTATAGTTCAAACTTGTGTAAGTGTCTGGGCACTTCCTAGACCTGGAGAACCTCAGGCTCCATTCTAGTTTCCATGAATCAGTTTAAAGAGATCCCAAAGGAATTCTTGTATTTAGCATCTAGAAAGTAGCATATGTTCTTCTTAACTTCAGATACGCTTCTGAAGGACTTGAGGTGGGGCATATGTGTGTGCATGTTTGTATGTGTATAGTTACACATGCCCATGTTCTTCTTGAGACAGGTTAATTTAGGAGACTTGCTCCATTTCTTTGCACTAGGTCAAAGGGCATTTTGATTTCAAGATGCTCAGCTTCAACGGAGTGTGAGAGCAAGAAAGATGAGCACAGGATAGGCAGGCAGAGGCAATCCAGATGTGGAGGGTTATTCTCTCATGAGGTCTGTTGCAATGCCGAGTGAATCATGTCTGAATCTACTACATAACAGACAGCTTTTAGGGAGTTCCCTCTGGAGGGACTCACCGTGTCCCTGTACTTCACGAAACTGAAGCACATATTGACCCAGTCTGCCTTCATCTTCTCCAAGTTTTTCTCCAGAGAATACTCCTTGCTGGCAGCTGCCCCAATGGGCTCCAGCCTGAAGAGAGAAGACATCAACAGCAATAGCAACATGAGGTGGCAGGGGAAACACCGTGGAAGGATTTCAGCTTAGTCTTAAGAGAATTCCAAAGCTTTAAGTTCACCAAAATGTTTTCTCTAAGGGTTACCAACTACTTCTAATGTGTTTCTTGCTCTGAGTACCATAGTCTTTGGGGGTTCCTATAAGTTGAGTATGTTTTCCCAAAATTCATGTCTAATCCTCAATCAATCAAAATCATGCTTTGAACTACTGCTTTCTGAGCCTCGATGTCA